TCAAGGGAGCCATGGACAGGCTCACCCCCAGGAGTCTGAGTAGAACACAGAGTCTGCCTTGAGGTGATGGGGGGCCACGTGCGGAGACCTGGTCTAACGCTTAGGCAGAGGAGAGTGGCTAGAGCAGTGGGGAGGCAGAAGTGGTCTCTGATGGGCTCTGCTCACGTCATAAACTGGCACGTCTGTGTCTGGACGCTAGGGGGCACTCAAGGCCTGTTTTGAGGGGTCAAGGTAGATCAGAGCTGTGAATTGCCACCTGCCACTGCCTGTGCCCTCTGCTCAGGGCTCACATCTGTGACCTCCCCAACCCTGCCCTGAAATTGTCCCTACCCTGCCCATCCCCCTGACATCCTCAGAGGCACCTAAAGAAGTCAGTGAGGAGTCAGAAAACAGGGGGGTCGCATTTGCATGCTTGGGCCCTCCCCCTCTCAACAGATCAAGAGGTGAAGGGAGAGTTTGAGGGAGGCTCTGCTCAGCTGTGAGGCAACAGAAGGCAGGATCAGTGCTGACCTCCACCATGGCCTGGTCCCCTCTCCTCATCACCCTCCTCGCTCACTGCACAGGTGACTTGATGTGGGGACACGGGAAGGGGTCCTGGAAGCACAAGTGTGCGCCTGATTCCTCCTCTTGTCTCTAGACCCCAGGAATATCCTCTCTGTTTGTTTCTCTTTCCAGGGATTTGGGCTCAGTCGGGGCCAAATCAACCATCCTCAGTGTCTGGGGCCCTGGGCCAGAGGGTCACTATCTCCTGCACTGGAGTTGGTAGTAACGTGGGCTGGTACCAACAAATCCCAGGAATGGCCCCCAAAACCATCATCTATTGGGATAATAGCAGACCCTCGGGGGTCCCTGATCGATTCTCCGGCTCCAAGTCTGGCAGCACAGGCACCCTGACCATCACTGGGCTCCAGGCCGAAGACGAGGCTGATTATTACTGCTCATCGTGGTACAGCAGTAGCAGTGCTTACACAGTGGTCCAGGCCTGTGGGGAAGTGAGACAAAAACCTAGTTACTCATCTGTAAAGAGGGAAACACATCAGCAGTTGCCTCCTCAGCTCAGCCTGTGACTCTGCTCATTCCGTGGCTGAAGACTTGGGCGCAGGTCCACGCAAGGGCACCTCCCGTGAGTGAGGTTCCTCCTGTCCTTTCTGTCCTCAAAGTCATGCTCAGAAAACCTTTCTGACACAGAGTCTTGATGGAAGACAAATCTCTTGTTTTATCAGCTGAGGTATTTTACTTCTAGGCCAGATCATATCAATTTTTCCTTCTGATATAAAAA